GCTCCATATGTGGTCTCGACAATGTACACTAAAAGCATTAACAGGGAAACATTCCATGCGCAACATGGCACTGTTATTAATCTGGTATTTTACAGCTGTTGATGGAATTAGCATCTCTAAAAGCTACCAAAGAGCTTGGAAAAACTTACTAACAGCCGGCCTTAGAATTATTAACCTGAGTTTTAGAGCTGTACTATCATAAGGAGATAACAGAAAGAGTTGGATAGCCACCATCAAGAAGGCACGAGCAAAAATCTATGAGTAGAGTCAAGAAGGTTCATCATCTTAGGCAGTTAATAATGTAGCATAGGTTTACATCTACGACAGCTTATAAGAAGAAGAAGGGGTTCCGCGCTGGTCAGAAGAACTATTATTCTTACCTCAAAAGTCTTTATCTTGGAGATCTTCTGCAAGACATCCTATAAGACAGTAGCTAGATGCAGTTAATATCTTTTCAAGTAAAAGATTTTATGGAGACACTATCTATAGCCTTTACTCAACCAAAAGCCTTAAGGAAAGGAGTTCTTAAGTCAGAGTTTGTTTCTCATTGCCTTTGCATAAAAAGCAAACCCTACAAGCAACCCTATGGGGCAGGTAATACTGGATTACATGATACCAGTAACAGGATAATCGTGATGATGCTGAACCTGACCTAACCTGGAATAGTTAAAAAAAGTTACTTCCTGCAAATAGTACTTTAAAACACCAGACATGAAAATATGGAAATCCATTAGGAAAAAACATTACATTTAACAAAATACTAAAGAATGTCAGCGTAGGTTTTAAAGTTGGAGTAAGTAGTTAGTTTTTGAGCTCACACTGCATTAATGATTTAAACTTTACATAAACTTAAGTAACTTACGGGTGAGTAAACACCGCGCTAGAGGTTCAGAAAGAACACAACATAGATTTATAAAGTAACTTATAGGTGAACCAACACCGCGCCAAAAGTTCAGACAGAACACAAACACAATATAAAGTAACTTACGGATGAATGAACACCTCTTCAGAGGCATAATAATTCCTAATTAAATATGTTGTAGAATTATATACAACAAAAATGAGAGGACCACACTAAAACTTTAATAATGGATATGAAAATGGTAAACATATATCAAATAAATATTTACCAACACTTATACTTTATGAATAAATATACCAATAGTCTAACTCCTCATATCTCTATAAGTAAATTTAATAAAAATCTAAATGAGAAATATTTCTTAAGAATAAATCAAAGTAACACATATAAATTACCTAAAAAATTAAAAAAATACATAGACTATAGTATAACATATGGAGGATCTAGGCTATGGAACTCTTTTTTGAAAAGCAATTTAAATATGGCAAACACATTAAACTCATTTCAGTTTCAAATAAAAAATTACGTTTTAAATCTAACGGGATGATTTTTGTTTATAATTTTTTTTTTGTTTATAAAAAAATCTTTATAGCAATATATATTCTTATATGACTGTTTGTATTTTTGAATATTATATGCACTCTTTATACATTATTTGTTAAATATGGTATTAGGGTTTTTTTTTCTGGATATTGGATAAAAAAGCGTCCATTTTGTTTCTTCAATATTGAGGAATTATCTGTTTTTCTTAAACCAGTATGAGATTTTATTTAACTCTTGTGTCATACTATTCCAAAGTATATTTATGTTTTCATGAGGTTAGAATTTGTTTGTGTACTCAGCAAAAATTAGAGTGGTTAAGTTTAGAGGCTTTGTTAAGGTCATATATATATTAAAAATTATAGTGGCCGAACTATGGAACCCTTTCAGACACAATATGTTACATTAATTAATAATGGCAAAGAAGAGTCTTAGATATTAACGGTTACTAATATAGCTTTTGAACCACGTTAGGAATTTATCTTTAATGCTATAGAGTTCTAATTTTTTTTAATAGTATGTAATGATCGACAGTATCAAAAGCGTTAGATAAATCGATGATGAATCGAAAATTTTTAAAAAATACAAGTACATTTATGTATATATATATATATATATATATATATATATATATATATATATATATATATATATATATATATATATATATATATATATATATATATATATATATATATATATATATATATATATATATACTACAATACTAAACGGGGGAAAAACTGCCGAACCTCATGGAGTTCTTGTAGAGAGAAAAAAACATTAGATATAGGCAAGGGCATTTTACAAGTAGGACAAGTCAGGAAGCTAGAAGCTGATTTCTTAGCTTCAGTGAAACAGGCTTGTCAACTAGTAGTGACTAAATGTCAAAAAATAAAGGTAAAAAAAAAAAGAAAAACATTGAGTTTTTCCTTTTTTTTACCTTCTTTTCTAGAGTTTCTTGAAAACTGTAATTGAACGCAACGGTCCCATAACTCCAAAACCTGCTGCTATTTTGGATTCGCTCAACAAGAAACAGCTGATTTCGTACTTACGTTTGATCCCAGCGGGCACATAACTTCCGCTGAACGTCTTGAG